TCAAACCACACACTGAGTTCTGAGCCAGCCTGGGCTACACTGTAAGCGCTGTTAAGGTGCTACACAGCAATGCTCTGTTGTCAATGCTGACAATGAAGAAATACACAGGAAGAGGTGTTACACAAAGAAGAGGTGTGGCATGGTAGGATCGACAGCAAGGCCCGTGTGATGGGTAGCTCTAATTATCAACTTGACACAGTCTTGGATCATCTGGGGAAAGAGTATCAGTGAAGGATCGTCTACATCAGGTTGACCTGTGGGGACGTGTCTTGATTGCCTCAATCAATGAGGGAAGTCCTACTCTAAATGCTGTCCAGACACAAGGACGCTGAAGCAAGCAATCTTTGCCTATTTGGCTTCCGCTCTTCCTGGTGCTGGACAGTTCATCCACCCTGTTGCTGGAGCTACTTCCACCTGTGCAGACATTTGAGCCTGCTTGCTCATGCTTTCAATTCTGACTAAAGGCCAGCAGGTCTTCAGGACTCGGCCTTTGGTACCAGATGAGGACTCCTGAGGCTTGTGGACTGAGCGAGCACCTTGTTCCTGGTCTCTCTGGTGTGAGACTGCCATTGTTGGAGTACAGCAACTGTATGGTGTTAGCCAATCATCTAATTAATTAATCTCCTTTAATATATATTCCGTCAGTTGGTTTTCTTTCCCTAGAGAACCATGAACAATAAACCCAGACTTAGTCTGGTGGGTGTGTGTGTGTGTGGGGGAGTGAGGGTGTCAGTAAGGAGTTTACAAAGGAACTTGTATCACTTATTTGTTTATCTTGAGGTACTAGAGATCAAACCTTGGAACACACCTGCTAAGCAAGCATTCTATCACTGAATTATATACCCCAACCCAGAAATTAAGTCATTAATTTGAATTACACATTAAGAATGGATATTAGCTGGGCAGTGGTACATGCCTTTAATCTCAGTACTTGGGAGGCAGAGGCAGGTGAATCTCTGTGAGTTCAAGGCCAGCCTGGTCTACAAAGTGAATTCCAGGACAGGCTCCAAAACTACATGGAGAAACCCTGTCCCAAAAACCCAAAAACCAACACCAAAACAAAAAAGAATGGATATTAAAGCCTGGGGTAGTGACTTAATCTTTGAAGTGTCGGAAAAGAATTTTTAAAAGTCCTGATGTAGGAGGAGGAAAAAAACCATGGTTTGTTGGGTAGGGAGGAGGCTTCAGAAGTAGAAAGAACTCTTCTCTCCCATGTCCCAATTTCTCCCTTCACACCAAATCTCTGAGTGTATCAGGCCATTTGAAATGGGGGTGGTGTTTAGCAGCATATATGATCACAGCAAAATTCTTGTTTCACAGGTTCTCAGATGGTTGAGTGGGAAAGCCTGAATGTGCATGTGCGTGACAGGGTGGGGGGTGTTCTCTCACTGATGGTGGGACAGAGATGGCTGTTGAGTATGCATGGAAGTATGCATGCTGAGTATGCATGGGAGTATGCATGCTGAGTATGCAGATAATGAAGAGGAGAGTGGCCTGGGAGGCTTCTGGGTGTGTTCTTTAAAAATATATATAAGGGTGTGTGTGTGTGTGTGTGTGTGTGTGTGTGTGCATGTGTGTGTATGAGAGAGAGAGAGAGAGAGAGAGAGAGCGCTTCAGTGTCCGATCCTTCCAGGGCTCGAGCTACAGGCAGTTGTGAGCTTCCCAACATGGATGCTGGGAACCAAATTTGGTTTTTCTGCAAGAGCAATACTAGCTTTTGACTGCTGAGCCGTATCTCCAGCCCCTGGCTCTGTTCTTTCTGGGAAAGAATAAATGCCTTAATAAATGACTCATAGTTGTGTGTGTGTGTGTGTGTGTGTGTGTGTGTGTGTGTGTGTGTATATGAGGGAGGGAACTTTCCCTGCCAGCCTTCACTCAAAACACAGGACATTACCCAAGAGCACAGAACTGAGAAGCCCCAATATGGTCTTACTCCAAACTACCTTGGAATCTTTATCATTTCAAATGACATTTCTTGAGCACCCAATAGGACCAGCCCTTTCCTGGCTTCAGGGTTCAATTAGACTTGGTCAAGATGGTGAAAAAGATCACCATAGCAATAGATACCATATGGAATAATTTAATGTCAAACCTCAGTTTTCTTACCTGTAAAGTGGGACAATAATAAGACTCCACTGTTAAGTGGTGATGCTTGGATAAAGCACTCACCATAGTTCTTGGAGCACAGCAGTAACGGTCTTATTGTGTCTTAGTCACTGTTCCATGCCGTGAAGAGACACTGTGACCACAGCAACTCTTGTAAAAGAAAGCATTACCTGGGGCTGGCTTACAGTTCAGAGGTTTAGTCCATTCTCATCATGGCAGGGAGCATGGCAGCATTCAGGTGCTTGGGAAGTAGCTCAGAGTTCTACATCCGGATCTACAGGCAGTGGGAAGAGCGAGAGAGCCTCTGTGCCTGACCTTGAAGCCCACCCCTAGTGACACACTTCCTCTAACAAGGCCACACCTCCTAATCCTTCTAAGTAGTGCCACTTCCTCATGAGCCTATTTGAGCCGTTTGTGTTGTTTGTTTTTCGTGTTTCATGACAGGGTTTCACTGTGTAACCCTGGTTGTCCTGGAACTGTGTAGACCAGGCTGGTCTCAAACTCACAGAGATCCAACTGCCTCTGCCTTCTGAGTGCTAGGATTAGAGGTGTGCGCCACCACCGCCCAGTACAGGCCAATATTATTCAACTACTGTATCAGGCTTTCTCTGGGCCACCAACCAGCTCCCAGATCATGACATGGAGACTTGTTACTAGTTATGAATGCTCAGCCTTATCTTATGCTTGTCCCACTATCTCTTATAACTTAATTTAACCTGTTTCTCTTTATCTACATTTTGCCTTGGGGCTTTTCACCTTTCTTTCCTTCTGTATGTTCTACTTTTCCTGCTTCTTTTGTGGCTGGCTAGCCCCAGGCATCTCTCAATCTTTCTCCCTCATTCTCTTCTCTTCTCTTCTCTTCTCTTCTCTCTCTCTCTCTCTCTCTCTCTCTCTCTCTCTCTCTCTCTCTCTCTCTCTCTCTCAAGCCTAAATTCCCCCTCCTACTTATTCTTTCTGCCCACTAGCCCCGCCTGTTCAGCTTCTTATTAGACCAATCAGGTGACTTAGGCAGGCAAGGTAAAACAGCAACACATCTTTACCTAGTTAAACAAATGCAACACACCTTTACATAGTTAAAGTAATATTCCACAGCAAACCACCACAGGTGGTATAGCCATTTCATTCTTCAAACATTCCCTTGACTGCCAGGCTTAGTGGCTCACATCTGTAATTCCAGCACTTGAGAGGCACAGTCAGGAATATTAGCACAGGTTTGAGGCTAACCTAGTCTACATAGTGAGTCCCAGGGCTATACAGTGCGACCTTATCTTAAAAAAAAAAAAAAAAAAAAAAAAAAAAAAAAAAAAAAGGCCGGGCAGTGGTGGTGCACGCCTTTAATCCCAGCACTCGGGAGGCAGAGGCAGGTGGATTTCTGGGAGTTCGAGGCCAGCCTGGTCTACAAATCGAGTTCCAGGACAGCCAAGGCTACACACAGAGAAACCCGGTCTCAAACAAACAAACAAAATGTCCCTTTGGAGGGTGTGTGTGGAAAGGCTCATGAAATTCACAAGAAATAAAAATTCTGCAAACTTCTGACAGACTCTGAGCTTCTTGGCTCAGATCATATTAACAGCAAAGATTGCTGGGGAGAGGAAACCCCTCAGTGTTGTTGATGCCTGCGAGCTGAGTGGGTGGGACTTTTCTCGGTGATGAAACTGCCCTAGGCTTTCCCACTCTAGTAGGTAACCCTGCACCCAAGCTCCTGTAAGGAATTAAAGCAAATAACCAAACTAGACTTGGATAGATCTTTTTTTTTGGGGGGGGGCGTCTATCCCTGCCCTCTCCATTTGACTAGAAATAGACTTCCCAGGCATGCAACAGTTTGGTAGAGAGAATGTTCTGGAATGCCTGGGAACCTTAAGGAAAAGGATGGCTCAGGATCTGGGTTGGAGAATGAGTGCAGGAAGAGTCAGTTAAATGACCCCCAGACCTTTCATTTGCTCTTCTAACAGCGCAAGTGGTCCTTAAGGTGGTCTTGTTTTTAGGACAGGGTCTCACTGGGAGGTGGTGGCACCCTTTAATCCCAGCACTCTGGGAGGCAGAGGCAGGTGGATCTCTGTGAGTTCGAGGCCAGCCTGGTCTACAGAGTGAGATCCAGGACAGGCTCCAAAAGCTACACAGAGAAACCCTGTCTCGAATACCTCACTATACAGCCTTTCCCCTCTGAGCTGTAAACCCTTGAGGGCCCGGCCTTCATCTGATTATGTACCAACGTGCCTGCCTCTTACATTAGGCACCTCAGAGAATCCGTGGAGCTAATGAATGGGGTGTAGGAAAGCATGGCAGATAATGGATGTTTGTGGATCTCTTTCCCTCTCTCAAGCTTTCACGTGTCGCTGAGGCAGCCTGCTAGCTCAGAGCACAGATCCGGACAGGAAAGTTGTGCTTCTAGTAACACACACCCAACTATCCTGATAGTTGTGACCTTTTCAGCTTGAGGTGGTGAGATGCCAGTGACCTTGATGGCATTAGGTCGGCCATCTCCTGTGCAAGTCCTTACAGGCTCAGGTGGGGCCATTTCCCGTGTCTCCTCCTGGGGTTGTAGCTGATTTTATGACCAATTTTCATTAGGATCTTTTGGGGGAACCGGGCGGTTTTGTTTTTGCCCCTTGGTCAGGAATCACTGGACTGTTTTGGGAGAGGACATGGTGAGGAGTAGAGCGCACACAACACCGAGTCGCAGGAAAGAAAGCTGAGTTCTTTTACTCCGTCGTCTTCATCCCCCCCCCAAACCCTATGAAGGCGGCAGGGAGATTTTCTTCATCTTGCAGATACAGAGAATGAACTTGAGAGCGTTTAAGCGACTCGCTCAAGGTTACTCCCCTCGTCCATGCAGAGGCGGGAGGCGGGATTCGCATCCAGGTTCTTCTGACTCCAAAGTGGCCCGGGTGGGGGGTGGGGCGAGAGACCGGGCCGGACTGGGGGTGCCTGGAGCCCGCGGAGCCCAGCGAGGGAGCGCGCGGGAGGCCTCTCCGGCCCAGCCCCCGAGTCGGTGGTGCAGCGCCCGCCCCCGATCGCGGGCGCAGACTGGCGGCCGCCTCCGAGCCACGTGGTGCGCGCGGCGGCTCGGGGCTCCCGGGGCTTGGGCGAGCGCAGCGGGCGGCCGGCTGGGCGGAGGAGGCGGGAGCGAGCGCTGCAGCCTGCGACGTCGGGGCCGTGGCCTCCGCTGTCCGCGCGCCACTCGCTGGGTCCCTGCGCCCAGGGCGCACCGTGGAGACGGACGCGGCGGCGCCATGGAGCCGGTGCCCTCTGCCCGTGCCGAGCTGCAGTCCCCGCTCCTCGTCAACGCCTCGGACGCCTTCCCCAGCGCCTTCCCCAGCGCGAGCTCCAACGCGTCGGGGCCGCCGGGCGCCCGGAGCGCCTCATCCCTCGCCCTAGCCATCGCCATCACGGCGCTCTACTCGGCTGTGTGCGCCGTGGGGCTGCTGGGCAACGTGCTCGTCATGTTTGGCATCGTCCGGTGAGTTGGTCGAGGGCGCTGCGGGATTTGGTCCCAGGGTCAGTGTGGACACTACGTTTTGCACACCCGGATCCCCAACTCCGACTTCCCGGGGTCCTGCATGTCTCACACAGAGGCCAAGTACTCTGAGGTGAGGACAGGTCTTTGATCTGTGTGTGTGTGTGTGTGTGTGTGTGTGTGTGTGTGTGTGTGTATGCGTGTATGCTTGCACTAGCCTAACTACATTACATTTAATCATCCTTGACATTCCTTTGCTTCTGCATCAGGGAAGCCGGGCAGTTTGGCAACACTTTGTGTGTCTATCACACACAGCTTGTGACCGGTAATTTGACAGGAGGAGTGTGTATGTTTGGTCCTCTGAAACCTCACAGGGGTGGGCTGAGGTGTTCTACACCATGCCTTGAGTCTTCGGAGCATACAGCAGGGACAGGCTCCAGGCTGTGGGGACAGTCCCCAAATCACATTTGGTAGTCGTCTTTTGTGGTTGCTGTAGCAGTGTGGGCTTGTCTCAAATCATCAGTTTGTAATTCTTCTGTATGAGACCGTATTTACATTGTTTCTTATTAATCCTCTAAGCTCCTAGGTGAGGGAGACATCAGGATGGCTTTGGGCATCTGTCTTTGCACTGTGTGTTCTCTAATAGAGAGCCCCCATGGTTCCTGTGGACTGGCCACGGGTTCTCTCTTCCTTTCCCCAGTGGCCATGTGGTCAGGAATTCTGGCTATGATTCAGGGCAGGCTATCCTCCTTGAGTCCTAGGCTACAGAGCAAGTTCAAGGCCAACTAGAGAATATAGCAAGACCCTGTCTCAAAGAGAGTGGGGAGAGAGAGAGAGAGAGAATATGAATAGGCATTTAAGAGATACACGATGTAGCTCACTTAATAGATAGCTTGTGTAGCATGCATAAATCCCTGGTTTCAAGCCCTAGCACACCATAAACTGGGTGTTGTGGTCCATGGCTGTAATCCCAGCCCCGGGGGTATGGAAGCAGAAGGCTCGGAAGCCAGAAGTCATCTTTGGTTACACAGAGAACTGGAAGCCAGTCTAGGATAACGGGTTTGGGGTAGAGTGAAATGGGAGAGCACTTGCCTACCAAGGCAACACTGAGTACTGCCTAAGTTAACAAAGTAAAACGTCTCCAACTCGCTGTACCTGGAGCACAGTGATGTCAGTAAAGCACTTTTCCCCTCACACTAAGGTAAGGGCTCATAGCAGGCTTTGTAGTATGCAAGGTTTTGGTTGTCCGCTCTGTCTGCTGCCAAGGTGCTGGGGGCTGCTGGGAAGAGTTCTCAAAAACACACCTTTGAACTTGGGGGCCCTGAGCCCTGTCTTGTTTAGAGAGGTTCAGTATGTGCCACTTGCCTTTTGCCCCCTCTTGCTCAGATTAGGGGTTCAGATCTACTTCCAGCCAGAAGACATTCCTGAAAGATGATGTTGTGCAGAAGTAAAGGTCATGGCTGTGGGTCAGGAGGTGCCCAGTTTCTACCCCATCTTCAGCATGTCCCACGGATGTGGCCGTGGCCAAACAGCTCAACTTTCCTGAGTCTGTTTACGTCCTTTGAAAAAGTATGATGATAACAATAGGCTGTTGGGAAGATTTGCTGGAGTGATGCAGGAACGGCCTCCAATAGCAGGCACCTGGAGTGTACTAGGCCTTCAGCGTGTGTTGGGGGCTGGGATTAGCCAGCACAGCAGCAGCTTCTGCAGTGGGCAACTGCTGGGGCTTTGGGCCCTGGCTCCTGTCCTGCAAGGGTGCACATTTAGTCAACAATTAAAATCGCTGGTGTTAATCATTGCTACGCCTGTTCAGCCTCAGGGTTTGGTTTTTGTTTTTGGCACAGCCTTGGCTGGTCTGAAACTCACTATGTAGAACCAGGCTGGCCTTGAAGTCATCTGTAGAGGTCCACCTGTCTTGGCCTCCTGAGTGCTGGAAATAAAGGTGTGCACTACCACACCTGGCCTCAGAGCTTTTGATGCCCAGACTGAACACAAGCCTCAGGTGGCCTCTGGCTCCTAACAGCCATACTCCAGGGTCCCGAGGTTAGATGCTACCCCAGGATCAAATGCAGCTTCCTAGGGCTTTGAGATCCAGGGCAGGGACTTGATTTAGCCAGAGGAGGTGATACCTGGACTGCGTGGTGAGGGAGTAGCTGCAGTTGGCTGTATGGTGAGGTGGGGCGGGCGTCTCAGGCAGAGGAACAGCATTGACGGTGAGAGGTCCGGTAGGGAGCAGGGAGTTTGACCTGGGGTCTGGGGGGTCAGAAGGTGGAGAGGCTGCAGGACCAAGGCATAAAAAGCCTTGACAGTAGTGTCCTTCTCCCCGGGGTTGTCGGAAGCATCCGCTGTGTTCGGGGCCTCCAGAGCCAGTGATGTGTCCACCAACTTACTCCCTGCCTTCCAGAATGCCCAAGAAGTTGCAGACGCTGTGGGAGTTCCGGAGACACTAGGCAACAGAAGGAATTGATGGGGGGGGGGGGGTGGTGGTGGTGAGAACTTGAGGAGAGTCTTGGAGACAGGCCAGGGTGGCTGTGTTAGGGACAGTGTTCTGGGGCTCTGGCTGCTAGTCTGGATGTGGAATTGGAGTCTGGACAGATTCTTGGCCCCATGCTAAGGCCAGCCATGCTAGGAAATCAGGGGGTGTCTGGGGATGGGGAGACCTGTGAAGAATGGTGGTCAGGAGGAAGAATCTGGTAAAGGGGTGCACGAGGTGAGCAGAGAGTGAGTATGGGGGAATTGGAGGCTGGTGCCAGACAGTGGGAGGGGCCCTGTGACCCTGGACAGGTAACCCAAACCCTTGCCTCCAGCCTCCACGGCCTCTCTCCGAGAAACTCAAGCCCGTTAGACCTAACAGGAAGACAGAAACCGGACCGGTGACTTTGGGTGAAACCAAACAGGGAGAGGGCAGAGTGAACAGCTGCCAGGGCCGGCTGGCCTTGCCCAGAATCTGCCATTTCCTAGGTCTTAGGATCATTCCCTGGGGAGTGTGTGTGACTCACAGACACAGCAGAGTGAGTGGGAGGAGTCACCAAGGACACCGAAGTCTCTCGGAGTTTCTCCTTGGTTCCAGGGCTTCTCCAACCTGCACCACGTTCTGCAGACTTTCTCTTCTCATTCAGAGCCCAGGACACGGGCTCAGAGGCAGCAGGTGCCTCTCACTGCAGAGGGTTATAGGAGTCGCAAGCTCAGCTTTTGTTCTGTGACAGGGTCTCCTGTAGCCCAGGCTGGTCCCAACTTGCTGTGTAGTTGAGGATGAAGGTGAACGTCTCATCTTCCTGTCTTTACCCCACCAAGTGCTGGGTTCCAGACAAGCACACCCAGTTTAGACTCAGGCCTTTCTGAGCCCCCAAACCATCCGTAACCACTCTGCCTGTGTAGGCTTGAGATGCATGCAGCGTGGAGGTCAGGGTTGTGTAAATCTCCGAGGCCTCAGTGTGTGATACCAGAAGCTGAAAGCCCAAATGTCGGGCAGACTGACATTTTCTAAGAGAGTGAGCTTAAACAATACATACATTATCGCTCTGAGCCTCAGTGTTCTGCTCTGTGGAATGGGAGGGTGATAGACCCTCCAAGGATGAGTATGAGGAGATCATGGGGCACGAACGGGCACCAGGTGTTTAGTATGCCTCTCAGAAGCAATTTCTGTAAATAAGGCTCACCTCTCATTCACCCAGTTGACGTTTATTAAGCTTCAGAGGAGCTCTGGGTGGATGCTACTGGGAAAGTTTATCAGGTCAATTTTAGAAGCTTTCTTTTATAATAAAGATAACTAGATAGTTACTTCAGGACCTAAGGAGACATTCCAGCAGAGGGTGATATTACCCATAATCCTACTGCAGAGAAAAGCTTAGTCATTTATGTGTATTTCTTTCCCATCTCTGCTTCTGTACACACACACAAACACACACACAGACACATACATAAACACACATACATACTTATCTTTATGAAATTAGGATCACGTAGGATCCAGGTAAATGGATTTTGTAAGGTTGTGTGTGAAGGTAATAGAAGGCTTTTTTTTTTTTTTTTGGTTTTGCGAGACAGGGTTTCTCTGTGTAGCTTTGCGCCTTTCCTGGAACTCACTTGGTAGCACAGGCTGGCCTCGAACTCACAGAGATCCGCCTGGCTCTGCCTCCCGAGTGCTGGGATTAAAGGCGTGCGCCACCACCGCCCGGTTCGATAGAAGGCTTTTATTGTGGCCCACACGGCCCTTCAGCTTTTGACTATCTTGCCTTCTAAGCTAGCCTGAGATACAGAATTGAAACCTTGTTTCAAATGAACAAAACCAAAGAGAGAGGGGAAACCATTTTTAAAAAGCCACCGTGGGGCTGCAGAGACGGCTCAGTGGTTAAGAGCTCTGACTGCTCTTCCAGAGGACCAGGTTCCGTTCCCAGCCCCCACTTGGCAGCTCACAACTGTCGGTAACTCCAGTTCCAAAGGATTCGACTGACCCCCTCTTCTGGCCTTTGAGGGTACTGCATGAGTACAGGGCAAAGATAAACTTGCTGCCACGGAAAATAAAAGTAAATGTATCTTTTTAAAAGCCCGTGGCTTTGGTTTTGGTTTTGTTTTTTGAGACAGAGTTTCTCTGTGTAACCCTGACTGTCCTGGAACTCACTCTGTAGACCAATCTGGCCTCAAACTCACAGAGATCCACCTGCCTCTGCCTCCCGAGTGTTGGGATTTAGGCTCTACCTACCACCAGGTTCTATTCCCGCCGCCCCCCCCACACCCCCCCACACCCCCACCATGAACTGAGGACCGAACCCAGGGCCTTATGCTTGCTAGGCAAGCGCTCTACCACTGAGCTAAATTCCCAACCCCGTATTTTTATTTTTTAAAGATCTATTGATTTTGTAAGCATTTGCCTTCATGAATGTATGTGCACCGTGTGCATGCCCGATGTCCAAGGGGATCAGAAGAGGGTGTCAAATCTCTTGGAACTGGAGTTAATGGATGGTTGTGAACCTCCATGTGGGTGCTGGGAACCGAGCCTGGGT